GAAGGGATAGTACCCTTTCATTGGTGTCAGTGGGGGAAATGGTGCCCCATTGTTGGTGTCAGCGGAAGGGATAGTACCCTTTCATTGGTGTCAGCGGGGGAAATGGTGCCCCATTGTTGGTGTCAGCGGAAGGGATAGTACCCTTTCATTGGTGTCAGTGGGGGAAATGGTGCCCCATTGTTGGTGTCAGTGGAAGGAATAGTGCCCTTTCATTGGTGTCAGTGGGAGGAATATTGCTCTATTCTTGGTGTCAGTGGAAGGACTAGTGCTCCATGCTTGGCACCATGGTTTCTGTTCCAGCCGGTACTAGCCATCATACCAGCAGGGGGCACTATACAGTCAACCATCATCACCAAGAAGCAAGAATGACGGCGGTGGAGCACCCCTACTGGACACTGATAAGAACATATTTTTATATATTCTTTTATTAGAAAATTTCATTTAAAAAAATCAACATTCTATAATACAATCACACAAAAATACAAGTTCCATAGCATAATCACAATATAAATTCCATAGCATAATCATGATACAAGGAGAAGAGAAATTACATTTTTTTACAAAACAAGAAACAGCAATTTGCAAGAAAGGGAACACATGTGCAATATTTATAGTCATTGCATTTTTTATTTCCCAATTACAAGAAATAAAACAGAAAAGTTACAAAAAGGAAGAAAAACAATATGTGCGATTCTCATCCTCACTGCATTTTGGAATACTTCTGTGTTTTCTTCCAGGTTTCTTCCAAAAGGAACATATAAATTCACATGTAAAAAGAAACCATTTGTCTATCCCTAGACACAAAACACCGATTTTGTGTGCCGCCTGAGAAAAGAAAAAGAAAAGCACATTAGAGACATGATCATATTTCTGGGTTCACGAACATAAAGAGGAAACCATGTTCTTCACTTTAAAAATCGTCCAAAAGCCTGTCAGGCTCTTACAGCGAAAGGAACAGCATGAAGGACTTAATGCAGGCCATAAACGGGTTGAAAACCGGCCGTTTAAAAAAAATCGGTCATTCAATAGGCCGACGTTACCACCAACGGTAAAAAAAATCGCCCGATTTTCATCCTGTCTACGGCCGGCATTTAATTATTTCTGTCCCTGCAGAGAGCTCCGCTATTATATTTGACATGAAAAAGTCTTACGGTTGCAACAATGTATCCATTTGTATTCATTTCGGATACAGGTGTTTTTATTCAGATACAAATGGATACATTGTTGCAACCGCAAGACTTTTTCATGTCAAATAGAATAGCGAACTGGAATTCTTTTTCTTCTTTTTTCTTTCTTCTTCTTTTTTTCTTCCTCTTTTTCTTCTTCTTCTTGCAGGTCACGGCTCATGCGCAGATTTTTTATCGGTAAAACGATCGGCCGATTTGCCCATCATTGCTGGGAAAATCGGCCAATCGGCAAAATCGGCCAATTTTTTTCAACTTTACCGACTAAAAAAAGGGCCAAAACCCCAAAAAATGACCGACCAATTAACCCATTAACGGTGCGAAAAGTTGGACGATTTTTTTTTTTCGGCCAAAAAATTGGGCCTGCATTAGTTTCCAAGAAAAGGTAGTGAATTTAAAAAGGTTAAACAGCAGTCCACCCTTTTAAGTCTCTTTCCGGGAATGAAAACACCAAATTCTTTCGGCCTCCTCTGTGCCCATTTTAACTCGGTCAAAATAACTATATCCAAACAACCGGCCACGGAGCATACCACGGAGCATACCACGGAGCATACCACGGACCATACCACGGACCATACCACGGACCATACTACGGACCATACCACGGACCATACCACGGACCATACTACGGACCATACCACGGAGCATACCACGGACCATACTACGGACCATACTACGGACCATACCACGGAGCATACCACGGAGCATACCACTGAGCATACCACGGAGCATACCACGGACCATACCGCGGACCATACCGCGGACCATACCACGGATCATACCACGGACCATGGCCGGACATTCTCTTGTACTCAAATACTCTTTTTTTTTTAAACACCACAATATTTCTCGCGTCCCACAGACATTCCTTCACGCAACTCACCAACATCCACAACACTCTTGTTTCCTTCTTTCCCAACCTCCACCTCAACCTCCACAGACCATACAACACCATCTCATACATCAGCTTCCTCACCCCAGTCAGACCTTCAGTCATTCTTTCTAGGCTTTTCCATACATCCTTCGCAAAACCGCACTCCCACCCAAAAAAAAAAAAAAACATGAAAGACACTCCAAACCCCCACACCCCTCTCTTGGACATTTTTTCGTATCGGCCACACCTCTCCTCTGCTGAAACACCCCTAGGCCCCATGTACACGGGACACTTCTGAATGATGGAAACTGACTGCTGGAAAACGTAGGTTAAAAAACATTTAGCTGCGTTTGGATAACACGTTTATGCGCGTTTGCGTTTAGAATCGGATTTTAAAGGTAAGCACAGGAGAACCTCCCAAAAGCCCAGAATGCACTGATAAGTGGTAAATTATTAACTATTTCAGACTGTTTCAGATAAATACAGAGAGTAGAAGCAGAGACAGCAGTATGTGGTGAGATTAGCTTAGGTGTGAGTTGCTCATTAACATTTCTTTTGATTCCAAGGGTGGGAAAGGTGTCTGGTGGAGGAAGTCATTAAGGCCACCTGGCAGGGGGTCCTCATGAGTGATCTGAGGTGTGAATTTTCATTAACATATCTTTTGTTTCCAAGGGCGGGAGAGGTCTGAGGTGTGAATTGGTCATTAACATATCTTTTGTTTCCAAGGGCGGGAGAGGTCTGAGGTGTGAATTTTCATTAACATATCTTTTGTTTCCAAGGGCGGGAGAGGTCTGAGGTGTGAATGGTCATGAACATATCTTTTGTTTCCAAGGGCGGGAGAGGTCTGAGGTGTGAATTGTCATGAACATATCTTTTGTTTCCAAGGGTGGGAGAGGTCTGAGGTGTGAATTGGTCATTAACATATCTTTTGTTTCCAAGGGTGGGAGAGGTCTGAGGTGTGAATTGGTCATTAACATATCTTTTGTTTCCAAGGGTGGGAGAGGTCTGAGGTGTGAATTGGTCATTAACATATCTTTTGTTTCCCACCCATAAAACCCTTACTTTTTTCCCAGATGCCCGCTCGGTTTCTTGGATTAGACACGCACTGATCCAATGGATCACCTCTCCCACCATCCCCCGTTTCCTTGAATAATGATGATTTTGGACCATACTATTTTAACTTAGGGAGAGCATTGCATCTAATTAGCATATTTGCTATCTCTCTCTCGTTCCCCCAGGAGAGCCCCCTTGTACTTGGTGGACAGCTTTGGCCAGCCACAAGGAAAGGGGTCCACCATGCGTTTATATGTGTTGGTGTTTTGCACTTGCACGTTTTTTTGTTCACTTACGGGGAGAAGACCCAAAACAAGCTGAACTCTATGTATTTATGTTCTGAATGTCATACAACATTTCTAGGACACAGTGGAGTCTTCCTTATAGGCCACGGGGAATGTCTTCATGTTATCTGCTCTGTTTTGCAAAACAGCAATGGGTTCATTTGCACACCAACTACCTGGCCATGGCCTTCCTTCTACCGAACCCACCAGGCCTCTAAACAGCTGCAGATAAACTAACCTCCCACAATGCCTCACAGCCCCCCATAGTGCCCCCAACCACATACAGTGCTCTCCAACCTCCCACAGTGCCACCCAACACTCATAGTGTCCCCAATCTTCCACAGTGCCACCCAGCACTCATAGTGCCCCCAATCTTCCACAGTGTCACACAGCCAACCATAGTGCCCCCAGTCTTCCACAGTGCCTTACAGCCCCCCATTGTGCCCCCAACCTCCTACAGTGCTCTCCAACCTCCCACAGTGCCACCCAGCACTCATAGTGCCCCCAGTCTTCCACAGTGCCTTAACCCCCCCATAGTGCCCGCAACCTGCTACAGTGCTCTCCGACTTCCCACAGTGCGACCCAGCTTCCATAGTGCCCTTCCACCTTCTATAGTAGTCCTCAGTGCCACCCAGCTCCCATAGTGCCCTTCCACCTTCTATAGTGGTCCTCAGTGCCCCTCAGCCCCCATAGTACCCACAACCTCTTACAGTACCCTAACCTCCCACAGTGCTCTCCAAACTCCCACAGTGCCATCCAGCGTCCCATCTTTGCTGTCAGCTGGAGGAATATTGCCCTATTGCTGGTGTCAGTGGGAGGAATAGTGCCGCATTGTTGGTGTCAATGGGAGGAATAGTTCCCCATCTTTGGTGTCAGTGGGAGGAATAATGTCCCATTGTTGGTGTCAGTGGGAAGAATAGTGCTCCATCATTGGCATCAGTAGGAGGCATAGTTCCCCATTGTTGGTGTCATGGGAGGAATAGGCTCCATCATTGGCATCAGTAGGAGGAATAGTAGGAGGAATAGTGCCCCATCGTTGGTGCCAGGGGGAGGAATAGCTCTCCGTCATTGGTGTCAGTGGGAGGAATAGTGCCCCATCATTGGTGTCAGTAGGAGGAATAGTGCCCCATCGTTGGTACCAGGGGCAGGAATAGCTCTCCGTTGTTGGTGTCAGTGGGAGGAATAGTTCCCCATTGTTGGTGCCAGGGGGAGGAATAGCTTTCCATAGTTGGTGTCAGTGGGAGAAATAGCGCACCATCGTTGGTGTCAGTGGGAGAAATAAAGCTTTGTTTCAGTGGAAGGTACAGTACCCAATGGGTGGGTAGAAGGCAAACAAAGGGCCACAGTTTGGAGACCACTGCTCTTAAAAAAAGAAACAACAGTGTTGACTTTTGATATTGTGCTCGTTATCCTTTCTATCCCCACTGTTTCCTTCTTTTTCATCCATGGTATGTTTTTTATTTTGCTATTTTATCTATTGACTAAGAAATATCAGAATTGATCGAACTAAAGATTCCTCTTGCTTATGTGGCTGTTTTATACGAATTCTCCAATAACTAATGATCTTGGTTTTTTCCCTCTTTCTTGGCAGTGCTGTTGGCCGCCATGGTCAGGTTACGATTTAATGGCTCATTGGCTATGGGACTCTTATTGCTTCAGACGGTTTTACTGCTGATTCTGTACTGCAAACACAATAAGCCCGTAGCGAGGACGGAGGCCAAGGTCCATCTACTCATTCTCTCCTCCTGGAGGTCAGGATCGTCCTTTGTTGGCCAGATCTTCAGCCAACATCCAAAAGTGTTCTACCTAATGGAACCCGCTTGGCACGTGTGGGTGTCCATGTTTCAGAACAGCGCTAAGGTTCTTCACATGGCGGTCAGAGACTTGGTGCGGTCCGTGTTCCTGTGTGACATGTCCGTGTTTGACGCCTATATGCCAAAGCAGCGCAATGTTTCCACCCTGTTCCAGTGGGCCACCAGCAGGGCGTTATGCACAGATCCGGCCTGCAAGATCTTTGAACGTGACCACATTACAAATGAGTCGTCTTGTAAGACAGTATGTGGGAAATACCCATTTGACAATATCGAACAAGTATGTAGTATGTACAGTCACGTGGTCATAAAGGAAGTCCGCTTCTTTGACTTGAAGGTTCTCTATCCTCTTCTCAACGATCCTTCATTGAACTTTAAAGTAATCCATTTGGTACGGGATCCAAGAGCCGTGGCCAAATCCAGGGAACAGTCAAGGAAGGCTTTTATGAGAGACAATGGGATTGTCCTCAACACCAATGGAACCAAAGTAGACGACATCAAGTATGAGGTCATCCAGGAGATCTGTCGAAGTCACGTGCAGATATATGAAACCGCCACCTATAAGGCCCCCAGCTTCCTTAAAGATCGATACATGCTGGTCAGGTACGAAGACGTGGTTCAAGAACCCTTGAAGGAAATCATGCAGATGTACGAATTTGCTCATTTACAACTGACGCCCAAGCTGAAGAAGTGGATCCACAACATCACACATGGACAAAGCCCCGGAAACCGAAAGGAAGCCTTCGTCATAACATCACGCAACGCCGCCAATGTGTCTCAAGCCTGGAGGAACATTCTTTCCTTTGAAAAAGTGAAGAAGATCCAAAACGTATGCAAAGGGGCCATGAAAATGCTTGGTTATCTCCCCGTGGACTCAATGTCGGAACAGGAAGACTTGTCCATCGATGTTGTATTACCCAGGAAAAGGAGCCAGTTCAGTTGGCTATGACTTAAGCACAACAGGAGACCTTTGGAGGCTTTAATATTTTTGTTCGTTCTTATTTATTAAATTTTATTCTGTGAACTGTGAAAATGAAAAGAGTTTATGATGGCGGGAAAATTTTTAGTGGCCCGTTTAGAAGTGAAGGAAACCAAATAGGAAATGTGCTTGTAGATACCCCCAAAAAACATGGGTAGCTACGGTTTAGCATTTGTTCTATTTAGAGACACCAATGCCATACCATCTGTTGGTATCACATCAGTGCCGGACTACCAGATAGGCAGAGTAGGCACCGGCCAATGGGCCCCAAGCCTTTTAACCACCACCCCATGACCATGGATCAAAATAAGATTGATTTGCTCTTGAAAGAAATTTACAACGAAGCTTTCGTAAATTAAGATAGAAAAAAATGAATCGACTCAAAGAAAACAAACGTTTACATTAAAGACTCTATATCCACGGTCCCCAATCTCCCCGGCTCTAGGGACCAGCCTCCCGGAAAACAACCCATCCACGGACCAGGAAAGGGGGGTGGGGTGTGTTCAGCCTGACACCCGGGAGTGGGGTAAATCCTGAATAGTTCCACGTAAACTCACTGGAAGTCCCACGATGTGAGCAAGAGCATCTGTCAAGCTGTGGCGGGCTAGGCAGGGACTCATCCATGGACCAGGAAAGGGGGGGTGGGGTGTGTTCAGCCTGACACCCGGTGGTGGGGTAAGTCCTGAATAGAAGACAGTTCCATGAAACTCACTGGAAGTCCCACGATGTGAGCAAGAGCATCTGTCAAGCTGTGGCGGGCTAGGCAGGGACCCATCCATGGATCAGGGAAGGGGGGTGGGGGGTGTTCAGCCTGACACCCGGGAGTGGGGTAAATCCTGAATAGAAGACAGTTCCATGAAATTCACTGGAAGTCCCACATTGTGAGCAAGAACGTCTGTCAAGCTGTGGCCAGCTAGGCAGGGACCTATCCACGGACCAGGGAAGGGGGGTGGGGGGTGTTCAGCCTGACACCCGGGGGTGGGGTAAGTCCTGAATAGAAGACAGTTCCATGAAACTCACTGGAAGTCCCACGTTGTGCGCAAGAGCGTTTGTCAAGCTGTGGCCAGCTAGGCAAGGACCCATCCACGGACCAGGGAAGGGGGGTGGGGGGTGATCAGCCTGACACCCGGGGGTGGGGTAAGTCCTGAATAGAAGACAGTTCCATGAAACTCACTGGAAGTCCCACATTGTGAGCAAGAGCGTCTGTCAAGCTGTGGCCAGCTAGGTAGGGACCCATCCATGGACCAGGGAAGGGGGGTGGGGGGTGTTCAGCCTGACACCCGGGGGTGGGGTAAGTCCTGAATAGAAGACAGTTCCATGAAACTCACTGGAAGTCCCGCGATGTGAGCAAGAGTGTCTGTCAAGCTGTCAGGGACTAAGCGTTGTCAGGCGCAGTAGGTAGAGCAGTTTGAGGTTTTATGGCGGTTGTAGGCACTGTCTGTGAAAAGTCATGCTGGGTTAGGGTTCCCCCCAGGGGGAGTGTTTTCCCTAGGGAGGCGTGGTTCTAAAGGTCAAAGGTCAGGAGCTGCCGCCAAGCCCCCACCAGTACACCTGTTTAGTAGGGGCGTGAACTCCACCATATCAAGCCACCACCTACTCAAGCCACTTCCTAGTCAATGCTAGTGCTACCTCTGGTGGTTGGAGGGTGGCAGTGCAGGTTGTGCTGGCTCATTCAACTGCTGCCTACCCCCCTGCAGGGCAGCCTGGCCCCCAGCAGACCATGGACCGGCACCAGTGGGGGGTTGGGGAACCTCTGCTCTATAGAGAGTAATGTACCAAATAACAACTTAAAAGTTCATAAACCACAGAAATGCGTAGGGGCCCCCACAGAATGTATCTCCTTCCCCCCAGCCGCATGCATATCTGCGGCCTGTTGGGGGAGGGGGGGCTTAATGCAGAGAGGCCATATATATGCGTACCCAAAGAGAAACAGAACTGTGCCGAGACCGCTCCCCCTGCACAGTTGCTGGTGCCTCATGAAAAGCTCCTCATCTCTACTTGCGAGTCCAACTTGTAAGTCCAATCATGGCGGTCACATGATCACAAACTCGCCCCGCCCCCCCGGCATCTGAAAACCCTTAAAGGGCCATGATGCGCCGGTGCCAAGGGGTTAATCTGACACTGTGCATGGCGGTTGTTGTACTCTCTTTATTCTCTCTCTCCCGTCTCAACAATTCCTAGGTAGCAGCTGTGAAAACTCTGGGTCAGCTGAAATATTTTTTTTTCCTTTAATTCTATATAAATATTTATTGTATTGTTTTTTATTCTTTTTTTAATGTTTCCAAGCCATGGGGAAAGGAGGAATAAAGGGAGAAAAAGCGATTATGGGTAAAGTGGATTTTCTGAGCCGTTATGCTGGGGTTGCTAGACATGAAAGCAACACAGAGCTAACAACATTCTCTAAAACCCACATGGAAGAGAAATATATTTCCAGCATATTTTAGAAAAAAAAATTATATATGTGACATACATTTACAATATATTGGCCTACGCTAATATATTTTAACATGTATTTCTAAAACATGTAAAATTTAAATATATTTTCTACAGGCATGTGTTTAAAAAAATATTTGTTTTTAATATATTCTTCAGATTTTTTTTGAACATGTAAAAAAATCATTTTAACATATATTTTTACATGTTTGTAAATGCATTCCAAAAATGTAGCTTAAATGTATTTTCAAAGACATATATTTGAGAAAAACATATTCTTAGAAATATTTTTCATTTATTTTTTTAATATATAAAAAAAAAACACATTTTAATATACAGTATATATATATATATATATATATATATATATATATCATTTTTTTAAAATATATTGAATACGGCCAAATTTGTAAAATTTCAAACTTTCAAACATATGTCAATATATTTGGGAAGAATGTTTTTAAAGTATATTTGCAATATATTTTTCTTCCACGTGGGAAGGGATAGTAAGAGGAATGGTGTGGGCCACTTTCCTTTAAAAAGTTGTAATTTTAATGAACAAATATTTATATTTAATTTTTTTTAAATATTATTGAATACGGCCAAAATTGTAGAATTTCAAATATATGTCAATATATTTGGGAAGAATGTTTTTAAAATATATTTAAAATATATTTTTCTTCCACGTGGGAAGGGATATTAAGAAGAATGGTGTGGGTCACTTTCATTTAAAAAGTTGTCATTTTAATTTTACAAATTTCGGAGATGTTTTTTTTAGTTTTTTTATTTGTTGACCTGGAAAATGCTTTTATTTTAAGGAAAATATGTGTTAAATAAAATAAATTAAATGCTATTACTTTGCTAGAATATTTCCCTTCTACATGGCTTTCTCCGGCAGGGGGCTTCTCCTGGATCTTCTCTATGGCACAGCTTCCTCCACACCATGCAGGACAAATTCAGGACCAGGTCAGATTCAGGACCAGGTCAGATTCAGGACCAGGTCAGATTCAGGACCAGGTCAGCATACATTAGGCCCCAGACAGGATATTGGGCCTAAAATCACAGCTACATCCAGCAGCACCTTCTCAGGCCTCAGCCCAACAGAAGACAGCGGGCACATGGCCGGTCCCCGATATTTATGCCTCCCCCCAGCATGCACCAGTGTCCTGAACCTCCTACTCGGGTTTTTTTTCTTCAGGGAATAGGTGCATGAACTCCCCTCTTCTGAGTCATCCCTTGTCCCCACCCCATACCCACCTCCGAGCACTGTCCCTTGGTTTCACCCACCACCCCCCATTTTACATCTGCTCTGACATAGAACTTTCACTTTTAAAAATTTGTAGATGGTAGAGCACTACCCCCAAAGGAGTCCTTGAGTTTTGGGTCCCCCTAAATCTCTGCCTGTAATTGAGTCCTTACTCCTGGACAACTCAGCGCTCATGTAGTGATGTGGAGGTCCATGGCCATCTTGGCTCGCACGAAGCTGGCTGAACAACGCTGGGAAGATGACCGACAGAAGGACAAACCTGAAAGTCTGAGAGGACAACGAAGGATCGAAGATGACAACAAACGGAAAATGGATGTTGCGCTAATCACAATAATGCCGCAGACAGGGGCAGACTGACAACTCATGGGGCCCCCGGGCAATAGGGGATCATGGGGCCCCTGTGTCCTTGCCCAAACTCAAAAAAATGGGGCCTATGAAAAAGGTACCAGGGGCATCTCATGGGGCCCCCTACTGACCCCGGGCCCTCGGGCAGTGCCTGAGTTTCCAAATGGTCAGTCCGCCCCTGGCCGCAGACATTCCGAGACAAATCCTGAGAGGAGAAGACAATAGATAATACACCAGAACAGAATCAGTCAATGGAAGGAATATGGGAGTGAAGGGAAAGGGGAAATAATAAAGGTCCAAAATGAGGACCAAAAAGTAACAGACAATAAACCGCAACCGCGGGCAAAACGCACGGAAATGATCCGAGAGAAATAAAATATGAACTAAATCCCAGTAATAGCGGGACATAGGAGTCCATCACATACGTGACATAACGTGAACACAACTAATGAAAGGGTGGAGCTGAATGTGAAAAATGCAAAAAACGCTTAAATATAAAAAGTGGATAAACCGCTTATCACAGAAGAATGACAAGAACAACGCACAGTGAGGCCAAAAAATGTGACCGTGCGACTAAAGGATCATAACACAATGCCCCTCGGGGTCGGGGCGCGGAGGTGAGGAGGCATTTTAGCCGGTGTGGGATTCACTAATCATTTACTTATCCACGTTGGGTTTTTTTTTTTTTATGCGTTTTTTTTTAATGCGTTTTTGTTGGACATTTCTGCGCACGGACTTTATGTTGCATTTATGATGTTTTTTGTCACATGCAGGGGCAGACTGACCATGCGGAAACTCGGGCACTGCCCGAAGGCCCGGGGTCAGTAGGGGGCCCCATGAGATGCCCCTGGTACCTTTTTAATAGGCTTTTTTGAGTGTGGGCAAGGACACAGGGGCCCCATGCCCCTATTGCCTGGAGGCCACA